TATATATATATATATATATTAGACATTGTTTTAATGTAAAATAAATAAGATTAAGTTTCAATTAGGTTTAAATTCATGCATCTGATTGTCTAGGCTACTGCTCAACGGTGTTCAGGAAAGTTACTTTTAGAAGTAATGCATTACAATATTGCGTTACTCCCTAAAAAATAAACTAATTACGTTACTTAGTTTATTTTTATGGAAAGTAATGTGTTTCTTTACTTTTGAGTTACTTTTTTAAATCTGGGCAGGGCTTGCTTGTTTGTTTTTAATATAAAAATGTATTATTTGTGACCCTGGACCACAAAACCAGTCATAAGGGTCAATTTTTCGAAATTGAGATTTATACATCATCTGAAATCTGAATAAATAAGCTTTCCATTGATGTATGGTTTGTTAGGATAGGACAATATTTGGCCGAGATACAACTATTTGAAAATCTGGAATCTGAGGGTGCAAACAAATCTAAATATTGAGAAAATGGCCTTTAAATCTGTCCAAATTAAGTTTTTAGCAATTCATATTACTAATCAAAAATTAAGTTGTAATATATTTACAGTAGGAGATTTACAAAATATCTTCATGGAACATGATCTTTACTTAATATCCTAATGATTTTTGGCATAAAAGAAAAATCAATAATTTTGACTCATACAATGTATTTTTGGCTATTGCTACAAATATACCCCAGCGACTTAAGACTGGTTTTGTGCTCCAGGGTCACATTTTACAAATGTAAAAGCCCTTTCACAACAAAAGTGAAATGAACAACGCCTCAGGCTGAAGCAAATATAAATTCATGTCTATACAGTAGAGGGCGCTGCTTAAACAAATTGCATAAAGAAAGAATATGAAGCAGGAGAAAAAAGTTCAACACTGTTCAGCAATAAGAAAAATTAAACACAAATGTGTCATTTTTGCTTAGTATGGCTGAATTGGATAATCGAAGGTCAGTATAGCAAAGACACTGGCTAATAAAATGGGATTAAATCCATAAATGATATTTGGCCTTTTTAACATATTTAATTATTGCAGGTTTGTGTAATATTCTGAGTTTGCATTTGACTGCTTTTATTAAAATACATGTTCATATTTAGTCTAGAACTACAGTAACATCATGTTCACACAGCGCACACAATGCCTCTGCACGTACTCCCGATTTCTCTCAACATGGCAACACCAGAGCTGTCAGTCAAGACATGGGAAACAAAGTAACTGGCGTTACTTATTTGAAAAAAAGTAACTCAGATATTTCCTTATAAATTAATAAAGTGTTACTTTTCTAGTTACTTAAAAAAAGTAATCTGATTACGCAACTCGCGTTACTTGCAATGCGTTACTACCCCCAACACTGCTGCTCAAATGCTTAAAATTTGTTTAATACCTTCATAAGAGTTTCTTTATTAAATGTATTACTAAATATTGATAAAAATCATTGTTTTAAAAGTGGGTGAGTAGAAAGCAGGAGGCTTCCAGCATACATATGCATATGAAAAAATGGTTTAAAAATAAATGCAATTGGCAACTTTATTTCTTTTGTGTTATTTCACAGTTTTGATCAATTACTTATAAATGTAATATTCATAACTATGAAAATGTTAAATAGTAATGTTATTATTATCACTCTTGTTGTTGTTGTTTTTGTGTGTCTGTCTCAAATGTGCAGTTTTATCATCATACTCACAGCAGTGAGACCTTCATTATTGCAGATATTAACATCAGCATTGTACTCTAACAGTCTGCCCATACACTTCTTCTGTCTGTGAAAACAGAAGGCAACATGGGGAAAAAAATGTTAATGGGACTCAACATAAATGCATTTCTCAGTTACCATCTTTTGCAAGCAATACACACAAACGCTTAGGCCTCAAAGCTTGAGGGATAAAGACTAAAAAATGTGATTTGATATGCTTTCAGCAGGTGGCAGCACTGCACAGAGTTTATAAAACCCCCGTTTACCCATTTCTTGCAGCCAGATGCAGAGGTGTGCAGCCGGAGATATCCTGATAGTTTGGATTCGCTCCACGCTTTAACAGCAGGACAAGACACTCTACTGATCCACAGCTAAAACAACAACAAAAAATCCAGAGAACATATTCATTTTGGGTCATCCGAATAAATATATATCACTTTATCAAGAGTTTTGGATATTTAACAACAATAAATAAATAAACATTAGTCAATACATGAAAATGTGGTAATTTTGTGAGAATGTGAAAAGAACTTACTTGGCAGCAATGTGTAGAAGGCTTCTTTTAACACGTCCAAAGGCATAGTTGACATCAAACTTTGAGTTTAAAAGCAATTCAGAAACTGACCTATGAGCAAAAAAAAAATATATATATATATATATTGTTACATTAAGCTATGTGGCCAAAGAGACGGAAGTTTAAAGGAGACGACTGCCACCCAAAGAGGATGTTAAGCTTGACATCCTCTTCTTTAGCTTCCATTAAATTTATAGCAGTTAATCACTGAGCCTGTAATACATACTGTACTGGAAATAGCAGAGGTTAGTATTGGGGAAGCTGCAGGAGTGGGTGGCATTCGTTTAGGTTTGTTTAGACAGGGAATTAAGTTATTGTGTTTCTGTTTGTCTTGGCCTTTGTTAGGTCATTAATTGTGTTCCAGTTGCACTCAAAGCATAACAGTGACACTCACCTGTGCTGGTCGGCCATGACCATGGGCATGAGGGTGTACACAGCTGTTTCACTGTCTACAAGAAAACATACACATTTTTCAAATATATTTTCCGTAACAACTTGCAAACAGCTTTGGAGAATGGAAAGTTGTATTTAAATGTAAAATACATCAGGGTAGTATATGCTGGATCAAATAAAATGACAGTTTTACAATAAAGAGAATGCATTGAGAATCACTATAGAGAACAAAGTCAAAAGTACAATTTCCAGATGCATTACAGACAGTCAGGAGAGGCATTCGACAATTTAGCATGCATATTATGTCCACCAATGATAATTATATTTTTCTAACTTTTTCTTTTTTAGAAATACCTCATATATCCATTAAGAGTAAATAAATAATCTCACACACACACGCACATATATACAGTGTATGTATATATATATATATATATATATATAT